TTTCAGAGAAATGGTTTTACATTTTAAATTTATTAACTAAAAGCTTTTCCACTAAAAAAATATAACTTTTTGCAATTGAAAACCTTTTTCGATAAAACTTAAAAGCTTTTTCAATAAAAAGCTTCTTCAATACAAAGCTTTTTAGTAAAATATTGTTCACTACAAGCTTTCTAAATAATATCCACTTTGTGTTTTACTAACAGCTTTTTAGCTACAAAACTATTCTTCTAACAGCATTTGCTGAAAAGCTTTTTAGTGTCAAGCTTTTTCTTATAAAGTTTTTAAATAAAACGTTTTTCCATAAAAAAAATTATCAATACTTTCTTCATTTAAAAAGCTTTTTCAATAAAACCTTAATAGGTTAATTAACAAAATTTCTTTTACTAAAAAGTTTTTTAGTAGAAGCTATCTAACTCAAATGCTTTTTCCACTCAAAAGCTTTTTAGTAGCAGAAAGCTTAAAGTAAAGGCATTTCTCATAAAACGTTTACACTGATACATAATTTGAAACAATAAAGATTTCATTTAAATTGATCTGTTTAGGAATGTCAATAATTGATTTTGAAAGTGTTATGAACTTCTTTTTAGATTAAATTGCATTTAAATGCTTTTAAATCGAAAGCTTTTCACATACATATTTACAATTTTTGTCTTATCACAAAAAATATGTCATTGTCATTTAAGAATTCATTCAATCAAGCTGAACCTATAGCTATAAAATCGTCATCATCATGTCAAATATTATTTCAACTCAACGTGTTATTATTAAGATAAGATCTAACAAATCTGTCTGAATATATAGAAATAATACAAATCGAATAAAAAAGTTTTAAAACGAGATCACATTGTTAATAAGTCTCTCAGATTACATGAAGGAAAGTAAAAGAAAGCTTTATGTAATAATACCAAAAGATTCTTATAGTGTCTTTTATTCATTAACATATTGCACAAGATCTTCCAAAGAGTTCCTTTAAATAGAAAAAAGAATATCAATCAATTTGTTACATTAACAAATTCACAATGTAAATTTTAAATTTGAATTTCACAATGATGAATTTTCAAATCGCATTTGACATTTTGCTCTTTGTGTTTCACATTGAAATTTATTCGTCCGTAGACGAACAGACATTTACCCGCACCTGTGGGTCTAAAAACCGGCACGAACCTCTGGTCCATTTTGCCATTCAACCGCCTTTGCCATTCATCGTTTAACAATAAAGTGAATTAACAATTAACTATTTACGATTTTAAACAAGTAGACAGACAGACAGACAGACAGACACATGCATAATAAATAGATTGTAACAATGAGTAAATGTAACCGCAAAAAGATAATGATGGTGTTGTGGGATAGGAATACGCGGGGAAGACCTGAGGGGGCATATAGGAGGGATTTACCCTGAAAACAAAGGCTGAAAATAAAATGTATGCGTCAACCTGAGTCTTGTCAAATGGAAGCATCTATCCGTATATACATACAAGTTGTCTGATAGATAGATGAATGGTTGGCAGATGTATGGATCGTTGGATAGATGGATGGATGGATGGCTGAATGAGCAACCTATGACAATAACAACTATAATGTTCACATATAAAATGAAAACAAAAGCGGTCAATGTTGAAATTGTTGTTGTTATTTCTTTATTATTTTTCAATAATTTATATTATGTACATTATTTTTTTTTTTCAATATTGTGTAAATACAAGTGTTTTTTTGTTTTATAAAGAATATTAAAAAAAAAAAAATATTGCGAAAAATTTAAAACCACCTAACTAATTATATGAAAGTTTCGATGAAAAGAATATCGCGTAAATCGATCTTTCAGCAAAAGATAACATATTGACATCTTTAGCAAGTATTGAAGAATAAAGTTTTTTTAGCGATAGAGAAAAAAGTGGTTCCAAAAATACGCCCTTTCATAATGGAATTCTGTTTTTGTTTAAAAAAATTTCCTAAACAATTGTGTGTAAATAATATAAAAATACTTGATCGAATTGAGAATATTCCACCTTGACGTCAGTTATAAGAGTGCAATTCGCGAATATTCCTTAACAAAATTCTCTAGAATTTTTTCGCGATTAAATAAAAGAACAAACGATTAATAATCTCGAATTATATTGCAAGAATTACTCAATTGTTTCAAAAATGCAATTAAATAGTAAACTATTAGTTAATTCGCGAATATTCCTTAACAAAATTCTCGAAATTTTTTTCGCCATTAAATGTAAGAATAAACGATTATTAATCACTAATCGCAAGAATTTCTCATTTTGTTCAAAAATGCCATTAAATTGTAAACCATTAGTTAATTCGCGAATATTTCTTAAGAAAATTCTCCAGAATTTTTTCGCGATTAAATGAAAGAACAAAAGATTATTAATATCGAATTATATCTCAAGAATTACTCAATTGTTTCAGAAATTCAATTAAAAAGTAAACTATTAGTTAATTCGCGAATATTCCTTAACAAAATTCTCGAAATTTTTTTCGCCATTAAATGTAAGAATAAACGATTATTAATCACTAATCGCAAGAATTTCTCATTTTGTTCAAAAATGCCATTAAATTGTAAACCATTAGTTAATTCGCGAATATTTCTTAAGAAAATTCTCCAGAATTTTTTCGCGATTAAATGAAAGAACAAAAGATTATTAATCTCGAATTATATCTCAAGAATTACTCAATTGTTTCAGAAATTCAATTAAAAAGTAAACTATTAGTTAATTCGCGAATATTCCTTAATAAAATTCTCGAAATTTTTTCGGCATTAAATGTAAGAACAACTAAATATTAATCTCTAATCGCAAGAATTTCTCATTTTGTTAAAAAATGACATTAAATTGTAAACCATTAGTTAATTCGCGAATATTTCTTAAGAAAATTCTCCAGAATTTGTTCGCGATTAAATGAAAAAAACAAAAGATTATTAATCTCGAATTACACCGCAAGAATTTCTCAAATGTTTCAAAAATACCATTAAATTCTAATTCTCGAATATTTCTGAACAAAATTCTCCAGAATTTTTTCGCGATTAAATGTAAGAACAAATGCTTATTAATCTCTAATAACAAGAATTTTTCAAAAATGTCATTAAATTGCAAACGATTAGTTTAATCGCGAATATTTCTTAAGAAAATTCTCAAGATTTTTTTCGCGATTAATTGAAAGAACAAAAGATTAATAATCCAGATTTATATTGCAAGAAATTTTTAATTGTTTCAAAAATATAATTAAATATAAATATTAAGTAAATCGCGAATTCTCAAGATTTTTTTTCGCGATTAAATGAAAAAACAAACTCGACTGTTATAGAATAATATTGCTCAACAGAACTCTATAGAATGAAGAGCAAAATATTTGCTAAAGGTTCACTTCACTTAATGGTTACTCTCTGCTAACTCTGCATATGTTTATAAAAGAGAAAGAAGTGATTTTACTACCTTGAACATAAATAATTTTTGAATAGTTTCAAAGAAGTGATGGGAAAGGGATTTCTTAACCTTATCGGGAATATTGCATAAGTGATCGTAGATAATTTATTTAGCTTAAATTCGTGAGCGAAAATTTTCTTGCTACAAAGTTTAGAGACAGATCTCGAAAGTTCTCTAGAGAAGGAATTTTTTCCAACTTTGAATAGACACTCTTATTTACATAAATATTTTTCGAGAACCGATTGCGCAAATGATCGTGGAACTAATTAATTTTGGATTCCATAACTATTGATCTCAATTGTTTCGACAATTTTTCCAAAAACATGGGAATACAAAAAATTTATCGCAAATATTTAGTGAGAAAACTTTGGCGATCGATTGATTTCATAGAACTAACCTTTAAAGTGAATTTCGGTTCGAAGACTTTTCCAAATGACTATCGTCATAACTCGCTGGTATGAGTATCAATCAACTGATAAAAATTCCTAATACGATCGTAATTTTTATAGCAAACAGTTCGTAAACAAATAGTCTAAACACGAATATAGAGAATGGTTTGCTAAAGTGATCGTGATATTGAAAAGCTAGTAATTAGAATATCGCAAATTAAATCACGTATATTTCTCCACAAATCACTCAAAAACTAAAAGATTGTTCCATCAGTATATGGGAAAGATAAAGATATTCTCTAAAAGTTTCTTGTAAACATTAAAAATCGATTAGCATCGATCGATTCATTTTAAAAGTGTCCAGTAAAATAGGTAATTCGATCGTGATTTCTCTTGCAAACATTTCTCAAGATATCACTCATAAACGATAAAATAAAGAACGAATTACAAAAGTGATCGTTAAATTGAAAAGTTGATCAATATAATAGAATTCGATCTTGAATTCTCTTGCAAACATTTCTTCAATATATCACTCATAAACGATAAACTAGAGAACATATTGCAAAAGTGATTGTAAAAGTAAAAAGTTTATCAATATAATAGAATTCGATCGTGAATTAAATTATCAAGATTTCTCATTTATTCGGACAAAAACATTAAAAAGAAGGTAGTGTAGAAGTAGAAAAGAGTTCACATATTATCATTCTTTTGAGGAATATAGAATACTCTCGCGATTATGCTCTTGAACTTTATAATGAATACAAAACTTTAGTATAAGTTTAGCAACTGCATTCGCGAATATATCTCGAATTTCATAGAATGAAAAAAGAAATGATCAATAGAATAGAATATTCGATCCTGATTTAAATCTTCAATATAATCATACAAAATCCGTTAAAAACATTAAAGAGAATTTAGAACCAAAGTGATTGATCAATAGTAAAGTTTGAATAAGATATTATGCTCGTGAATATTATTATAAATACAAAATATTGAATATGAACTATATTCGCGAATATTATCTCGAATTTGATTTGGTTCTCATCGAAATGTTATATATTTGTTCACTGTGCAAAATTCTGCGGAATTTTTTCGAAAGGTTTCATTAAAAATGTTTACAGATAAAAACAAACGAACTGAGCTGTTAATTTGAATACATAGTTATTTTAAGACAACTTACATCATTCATAGTTTGACGCTTTGTCCAGGCAGCAGCAGCAGCAGCCGGAGAATAAGAAGAATATTTGTTATTATTATTGATGTTGGAGGCCGATGTATGTGGAGTATTATCATTGGGTGATGGTCGACGTGAACGTAATGCCTGCATAGCACGTTGATGTTGCAATTGTTTGCGATAATGTTCATGTTCAATTTTATTCCATTTCTCATCGGAAAACTTATCATCATCATCATCGTCATTAGACGTTGTTGATTCGTCCGATGTAATGTCATCCTCATAGTTAACGGTGTCATCATAGTCTTCACCATTATTGTTATTATTATTATTGGAGGCTTTCATTATTTGTGGGGCATGTCTTAAATGATAATTGTATTGATTCGGGCGATAGTTATAAGATGCATAGGAGTTTGGTTTATATAGAGGTCTTAAGGGATTTGTATAACGTTTAACATTGGTTTTATCATTGGCTTGTATGGTGGGATATTTGGGAGATTTATTGATTTCCTTGTCATCATCATCATCATCATAGGAATAATCATCTTCCTCTGATGTAGTAGCAGCATCAGTGTCAACATTATCATTGTTATTGACATCCTCAATGTCAGCGTCTTCATATTTAGCTGTCTCATCTAATATTTGTGGTTCTTTGTTTTTATTGGCCTTTTCGTTTTCATTGTCATTTTCATTTTCCTCATGTTCATCTAATGACAATGAAATTCGTTTAATGTCTTCTTTATCTTCCTTTGCTTGGTTATTGGTGGCCTCCGCCTCATCATTGTATAAATGATTATGAGGATTGTTTGTATATGTTATGGTTTTCCAATATTTATTGATTCGTCCAGTGTGTCTTAAATGTGGTTGTTGTTGTTGTTGTGGTCCTTCGGTTGTCATTAGTCTAGATGAAGGAGGATTCATATAAGAACTTTCACGATCAAAATAACGTTGATATAAAGGTTTGTTGTTGTGGGTAAGATTTTGCTTTCTCATTTGAGCTTTTAAATTGTGATGCAATTGTGATTGTTGTTGTTGCTGTTGTTGCTGATTATGATGTTGAGAGTCTTGCGTAAGATGATGATGGTGTTGATGTCTTAAATGATGTTGTTGTGGTGGCCATGTATTGTATATCGCTTGTTTTGCCAAGCGTTGTTTAGCCAAATGATGTTCATGACGACGATGATGGTGGGGTGGTGGTGTTGTTGTAGAAGAAGTCATGGGTTCCCTTAAAGCTAACTGGATTTGTTGGTATCTTAAATTTCTATTGTGTAAAGATAATTCTCGTTCTTGTTCTATGGCCTCATCGTCACCATCATAGTCTTCTTCATCATCATTATCATCTTCATGAGCATTTTCTTTTTTTTGTTGCTTTTGCTGTTTCAGTTGAAAATCTTTTTCCGCCATTAGTATGCGTTGTTTGTAGTGTTCCTGGTGTCTTAAGTTATGTGCTGGCTGTATCATTTCTATGACTTCACTAGAATGTTCCTCTTCTTCACCCTCCTCCTCCTCCTCCTGTGTGTCCTCAACCTCATCATCATCATCATCGTTAAAATCTGTTGACTTGAGTCTTTTGAAAGTGTTTTTATCTTTTATTTCAACTATTCCTGCCCAGTTATTGCCTTGGTGCTGATCAGTGCTTAGCATGGTCTCACCTTTGTTGGCGGTGGCATTGTTCTTGTTCGATTCTTTGGCTTGAACTAGAGGACTTAAGATCAGTATTGAACAGCAGCTTATAAATATCATTAGCATTAAACTCATTTTGCTAAAATGCCTTTTCCTTCGGCGTGGCATGTGATCTTCAGCAATATGGGGGCCATTTAAAGACCATGTGTTGTTGTTGTTGTTGACATGTGTGGAAATCATGTTGTTGTTAGTTAAATTCTATTCGTTGTGTGTTTAATTTTTTCTTAATTTAAAAACTATTTTTTTTTTATTTTTTAAAATTTTGTTAAAATTTTTTTTCTTTAAAATTTGTGGTAATTTTTTTGTTAAAATTTATTATTTATTTATAATTGAACACTTGTTGTTGTTTTTGCTTTATTTTTCTAAAATTTTGTTGTTGTTATTTTTAAACTTTTTGAACGACAATTTGTCACTAATCCAAAGAAAAACACTTTAGGTGACACACTCTAGCTGACAGCTCTGTCACTGGTTATAACAACAAAACCAAAACCACTAAATAAACAACAATTGCCAAATGGCAAAAGCACACCTCTATTTAAAATTTACACACTTGAGCGTTAAGCCTAACAAAACGCCGACGTCTTACGTTTAACTTAACAGCCAACACACTTTTTTTTTTTGTAATTTGAAGTTTCTTTAAAAAAACAACTTTTTCTTAAAATGGCAAAAGATTTCCTCTATATTGCTTAATTTTCTTAAAAACAAAAACAAATTCTAAACACTTTGTTTATTAACAAATTCAATTTAAATTCACCAAAAAAAAAATTGTAACGCGCGCGCATTTAAAATTCAAGTTCATTCACAAAAAAACCCACTAACAACAAGCCACCAAAAACAAAAAAGAAAAAAGGTGTAAATTACAATATTTTCAATTAACCTTTAGTTTCCTCTTTTTTTCACACAAAAATTCTTTAATTTTTTTAAATCTTTAACAATTTGTTTTGAACTCAATCAAAAATTAAGCAAAACATTCTTCTTTTGCATCTTGTGGCTGCAATAAATGCCAATGATAGAATGTTTGGAGAGCGAAACGTAATATAAACAAAACAAATCCAACAAGAGAGCGTAGTGGTCAACACAAAGATTCATTGATTTTATTAATTCTTTTTTTTTTGTTTTCTTCAAATTAATTTTCTTTTTATAGAAAACTTTTTTTTCAATCACTTCTATTACCGTCGAACGTTTTGAACAGTTGAACGTCACGTTATAAACTGAAGCATACCGATACATAAAACCACAGCAGCAGCAGCAGCAATAAAAGCAACAACAACTAAAACACAAACGGAAACAATATTTTGTATTGTATTCATTCTCCCCATTACATTGTATACAAAACAATAACACACACAGAAACTATGAAATGCACTTACATTTGCAACATTTTTAAATTCACAGCAACATGTTGCTACGCAACGCCATAAACAATAACATCCACTATCCAACACACTAACAAATAACTTCCACACATATAAAATCAAAACAAAAATCAGCTGTTTAAATAAAAACATACAAAAACCAACAGCCCTGAACACTTTAGCAGCAACAACAACAACAATAACAAACAATTTTTCCTCAACTTGTTTAAAAAATGTTTATAAACTCCCTAAACTGCAATTTGTTTAGCAACATTGCAGTTTTCTTTACTTAATTACAGCATATAGTTGTTGCTGATGTTGTTGTTGTTACTGCTTGGTTGTCTTGTTTATTTAGATGCTAATTCACTCAACTGAAATGTCTTTTCTCTCTCTCTCTACCTCGCTCTCTCTTACCCCTTCTACTGCTCATCATTATTAAAGTTCTAAGAAATATAAAAGGCCTCAAACTAACCCCACTAAGTAGTAGTTAGTGGTGTAAGAGGTATGGCAGGCTAAAATGAGATCTATTCATAAGATAAGATAATAATAATGTACTAAATACTTTTGGTTTATATTGCACTGTTCATGTTCTTTGTGTTTTAATAAATAAATAAGTTAAATGTTTATAAATAGTAAATAGTTTTAATAAAATATTAAACTAACTTCTTGGATATAGTTGAAAATATTTAGAAATCAACATAAAACCAGAAAATTAAATTTTCTGTACGACTTCAGTTAGGATTTTGTATATAAAAATAATTTTTAGGGAACAAGTGGGATTTTTAGTGAAAAGTCGGATTTCTAGTGAAAAATCGGATTTTTAGTGAAAAATTGGATTTTTAATGAAAAATAGTATATTTAGTCAATAATAGGGTTTTTGGTGAATAAAAAGATTTTGAGTAAAAATTGGATTTTTGGTACAAATTAGTGAAAAATTGAATTTTTGGTGAAAAATCGAATTTTTGTGAATAATCAGAATTTTAGTGAAAAATCGGATTTTTAATGAAAAAATTTTGTAAAAAAAATCGAAATTCAGTGAAAATTAAATTATCAGAAATAATTGGAATATTGGATTTTTGGCCAAAAATCCAATTCTAGTTCTAGTTCAGTTCTAGTTCAGTTCTGGTCAGTCTAGTTCAGTAGTTCATTCTAGTTCAGTTCTAGTTCAGTTCTAGTCAGTTCTAGTTCAGTTCTAGTTCAGTTCTAGTTCAGTTCTAGTTCAGTTCTAGTTCAGTTCTAGTTCAGTTCTAGTCAGTTCTAGTTCAGTTCTAGTTCAGGTCTAGTTCAGTTCAGTTCTAGTTCAGTTCTAGTTCAGTTCTAGTTCAGTTCTAGTTCAGTTCTAGTTCAGTTCTAGTTCAGTTCTAGTTCAGTTCTAGTTCAGTTCTAGTTCAGTTCTAGTTCAGTTCTAGTTCAGTTCTAGTTCAGTTCTAGTTCAGTTCTAGTTCAGTTCTAGTTCAGTTCTAGTTCAGTTCTAGTTCAGTTCTAGTTCAGTTCTAGTTCAGTTCTAGTTCAGTTCTAGTTCAGTTCTAGTTCAGTTCTAGTTCAGTTCTAGTTCAGTTCTAGTTCAGTTCTAGTTCAGTTCTAGTTCAGTTCTAGTTCAGTTCTAGTTCAGTTCTAGTTCAGTTCTAGTTCAGTTCTAGTTCAGTTCTAGTTCAGTTCTAGTTCAGTTCTAGTTCAGTTCTAGTTCAGTTCTAGTTCAGTTCTAGTTCAGTTCTAGTTCAGTTCTAGTTCAGTTCTAGTTCAGTTCTAGTTCAGTTCTAGTTCAGTTCTAGTTCAGTTCTAGTTCAGTTCTAGTTCAGTTCTAGTTCAGTTCTAGTTCAGTTCTAGTTCAGTTCTAGTTCAGTTCTAGTTCAGTTCTAGTTCAGTTCTAGTTCAGTTCTAGTTCAGTTCTAGTTCAGTTCTAGTTCAGTTCTAGTTCAGTTCTAGTTCAGTTCTAGTTCAGTTCTAGTTCAGTTCTAGTTCAGTTCTAGTTCAGTTCTAGTTCAGTTCTAGTTCAGTTCTAGTTCAGTTCTAGTTCAGTTCTAGTTCAGTTCTAGTTCAGTTCTAGTTCAGTTCTAGTTCAGTTCTAGTTCAGTTCTAGTTCAGTTCTAGTTCAGTTCTAGTTCAGTTCTAGTTCAGTTCTAGTTCAGTTCTAGTTCAGTTCTAGTTCAGTTCTAGTTCAGTTCTAGTTCAGTTCTAGTTCAGTTCTAGTTTTCTAGTTCAGTTCTAGTAAAGTTCTAGTTCAGTTCTAGTTCAGTTCTAGTCCAGTTCTAGTCCAGTTCTAGTTCAGTTCTAGTTCAGTTCTAGTTCAGTTCTAGTTCAGTTCTAGTTCAGTTCTGGTTCAGTTCTAGTTCAGTTCTAGTTCAGTTCTAGTTCAGTTTAGTTCAGTTCTAGTTCAGTTCTAGTTCAGTTCTAGTTCAGTTCTAGTTCAGTTCTAGTTCAGTTCTAGTTCAGTTCTAGTTCAGTTCTAGTTCAGTTCTAGTTCAGTTCTAGTTCAGTTCTAGTTCAGTTCTAGTTCAGTTCTAGTTCAGTTCTACTTCAGTTCTAGTTCAGTACTAGTTTAGTTCTAGTTTAGTTCTAGTTCAGTTCCAGTTCAGTTCTAGTTCAGTTCTAGTTTAGTTGTAGTTCAGTTGTAGTTCAGTTATAATTCAGTTCTAGTTCAGTAGTAGTTTAGTTCTAGTTTAGTTCCAGTTCAGTTCCAGTTCAGTTCTAGTTCAGTTCTAGTTTAGTTGTAGTTCAGTTGTAATTCAGTTGTAGTTCAGTTGTAGTTCAGTTGTCGTTCACTTCTAGTTTAGTTCTAGTTTAGTTAAGTTCTCGTTTAGTTCTAGTTTAGTTCTAGTTAGTTCTAGTTCAGTTCTAGTTCAGTTCTAGTTCAGTTCTAGTTCAGTTCTAGTTCAGTTCTAGTTCAGTTCTAGTTCGGTTCTAGTTCAGTCTAGCTCAGTTTCTAGTTCAGTTCTAGTTCAGTTCTAGTCGGTTCTAGTTCAGTTCTAGTCAGTTTCTAGTTCAGTTCTAGTTCAGTTCTAGTTCATTCTAGTTCAGTTCTAGTTCAGTTCTAGTTCAGTTCTAGTTCAGTTCTAGTTCAGTTCTAGTTCAGTTCTAGTTCAGTTCTAGTTCAGTTCTAGTTCAGTTCTAGTTTCAGTTCTAGTTCAGTTCTAGTTCAGTCTAGTTCAGTTCTAGTTCAGTTCTAGTTCAGTTCTAGTTCAGTTCTAGTTCAGTTCTAGTTCAGTTCTAGTTTAGTTCTAGTTAAGTTTTAGTTCAGTTCTAGTTTAACCCATTACTTTTCAATTAAACTTTTTTCTGGGAATGTCAAAAATAAATGGATATTCATCTTATTAAGACTACTGTCATATCTTTGGAGTGG